TGAGCTTGATTAAGCCCTCAAAGTGATTGACAGAAAAGTTGAGATTTTTCCTATCCCTGGAGAAATTAAAATCTCATCTGTAAAAAGGACCTGATTGTCCTTATCTAACTTTAAAGTTGGCCCATCTTTGAACATCCTCCCATGCTCCTTCCCAACTTAAATTACTTCAATTCTATAATTTTGTTATAAATGCAATGTGTTCCTGCAGAAACTTTTTCCTTTGTTAAACATGTTTGCCAAAGCTATAAACGTCTTTAATTTACATTCTAAAACTATCCTTTGGTGATATAGATGGCATAATGTGTGCAGTCCCAGAGTTAGAGGGGAAGGAAATAAATGGGTGAACTAGTATACAAAAGGAAATTCACTGTCATTATGCTATGAATTTCTGGAAGTGCATATACGTTCCTGATGTAAGTGTGATGTATCATCTGACGAAGGCATTGCATTGAAAACAGATTTCCTGAGCTTAGGCTGCATTTGTTCAATTCTTTCAGGTTACTGTGTTGATAGACAATAAACTGTAGCTCCATGGTGAAAGTTGGTAAACTTACTATAGAAATACTTTTTTTTGTATTATTCTAACAAAGATATTTTTGTAAACAACATTTAGAATGCATTTCTCTTGATGGAAGTACTCTTTAGATATATCAGATAAATTCCATTAACTACTATCCTGACATAAAATTGAAATTACTTTCAGTGAACTCAATTTATAATGCTTTTTACTTCAGTCCTTAATCACACACTTGCATGCTTAATTTCTTGTTCTTACAAAATCTCCTGCATTTCTTAACTCTGTTGTCTTAGTTTGGTGTACTTCAGTCTTTCTCAAGGAAGATGCTTTTCCAATATTAGGCAGGATCTCAGGACATTTCAATTTCACTTTAATTAACCTTGTCATTCCACTGCTTACCATTTGCATCCTCCTCATCAGCTGTGTTGGACTTAAATGTTGTTGGTTTGTTGGTTTTTTGAGTTGTTGTTTGTTGGTTTTTGGGTTGTTTTTTTTTTTAAGACTTTTGTATAGTCTTTCTCTGTTTTATTTTTATTTTTTATTTAATTCATATTCAGACAAACCTAGAATTAAAATATTCTTCCTGGACCTTCACTTGGCATTATACCGTATGTTATGATCTGCCATATGTTTCCTAGTTTGCTCGTTAATATAAATATCACTTCTCTATCCTCCCTCTGTTCCATTTCTGCACCTTTGCTGATGGAAGCTTGCAAAAACCACTTGTCGTCAACCAGATGAGATAAAACACGTGTGAGCCTAAGGGACTGTGAAATAAAGACTAAATATATTGTAAAGAAAAGTAGGAACGCTGCAACTTTAGAAATCATGACCTCAAGTTTTTATACGCACCTTTCAGAACCACCAATAAGTGATTTTGGGTTGAACACCCCATGGGTTTCAAATTAGGCTTTTAAGACTGTTACTAATGGACCACTATGGATTTCACAGTGCTCTTCCACTCAAATATGCAAAGAAAGAGAACGTGTTTATCTTACTTATGCACAAATCTCTTTTTAATATATATCTCTTTATTAAAATGTACTACCCTTTTTGTTTGTCAGTCCAAAAAAAAAGTCACCTCTAAAGCCAAAATGCAAATCTGTGATAAGGCAAATTTTGCAGCAAATTGAGCTTTTGAATATAACCAAAATACATGAAGCAATATGAAGTATGGTCAGTAAAGGAACTGTAGAGGAACTGAAGGAATCCTTTCATGGTTAATGGCAGCAGCTTATCAATATGGATGTTTGGGACTTACAGAAAATCACTGCAAAACTTGAGCATACTGTGAAAGCCCCAAGTTTTTCTATAATAGTGCTCAAGTGTAAAGCAGAAAGAATCTATGTAGCTGCCTTAAGCGGTTTTTCTGCTCACTTGTTCATAGAATTTCTGAATCTTAACTGTGCAACTCATGCTGTGTATAAATTTGTCTAAAAGGCAGCAAAAAGATGACGCTTTAAATATCTTCCATTTAATTTGTTTATGAATAATAATCCCAGTTTAAATGGGTAGTTCTCAGAAAAGATCTGGTAATGGAAATACTGCCACATTCAGTCTCCCTACCCCTGCAGGTGTTAGAGAAAAGAAGCTTCAATAACTTGAAGAACACTACAAGGGCAAAACCTACAGATGTTTCCTTCTGTTGTTTGTAGAGAGGGAGTTTTGCTACAGTTCTATTGTTTCAGTTGTCCCTTTTCTCTTGGGATTTTATTTTACCTTATCATCATCGGTTCTCAGAATAGCAAATTCTCTGGTAAGGCACACGTCTGAGGAGGAGGGGTCTTTCCTTGAAACTTGACAGAAGAGAGGTAGATTTTCACAGTGGAGAGTTTCATTGTAAAGATTGTCACTGACAGCAATCTATAGTAAGTGGAAGATTGAAATGGCATCTTTTTAGATACACAGTGGAGTAAGGAAGGGAGATTACTTGCAGTTTTGAAGTGTTTGCATGCTGAGCCAATGGAAAGTTTATTCTCCTTGCAAGGAATGTCTCTTTTTCTTGATGAAAAAGTCGATTGGTTGGTCTGGTGAGTGTTCTCATTTATTGACTTAAAATATGGTGCTTGTTGTTTGTTGTGAAACTAGGAAGATATCTTGGTAAAATGTAGAATACAGTTTGGCCAGAAAATATGATCCTGTTGTTCCTGTTCAAATTACTTCATCACATTGGTGAATAATTACGTGTCAGAAGTAATATTTCATTGAGTTGTGAAGATTAAAATTCTTCAGCTATAGCATGCTGTGCTGCTGAGGACTTTGTGAAGACACAGCTCCCTTGTCACTGATGAATTCTGTAGGGGTTGAATTTGGTCATTTTCTAGGTAATCTTTTTATACTCTAAAAGGTTATGGGATGATTCAGTAACTCCTTCAGACTGATGCATCTGAATTAAAGTGCAGTAACTCAACATATGAACCTTCAGGAAATATTAATAGGAATTTATATCCCACATTTATGTATCTTGATATATTATTGAGGTAATTAAGAATTTGCTATTTATTTATACACAGTATATGAATGAAAGCAGAACTATTTTTTTCTGTCTCAAATGGCCTCACTCTCTTGAGGTGGGGAGGAAGGAGATTATATTAAAATAGAGATATCATGTTTAATTGCATCAGAATTTTATGGTGTGTAGTTCTTGGTGGAAGCTTTCAAGAGGGTTAACGTATGACAACTTGAGTTCTGCACAGATGTTAGTAATAGACCTGTATCCCTTCTCTTGTGACATACACAAAAATGTATGGCTTCACTGTTGTTTCCATCAGATGGAAATCAATTGGCTTAAACTAAAATAAATAAAAGCTTGTGTAATTGCACTGCCTGTCTTCACACTTCACAAAGACTGGACAGCAGCAGTCAAATCCTATGTAGGGGTGGAGCTTTCAAAGGTAGAAATTATTTTTAACAAGCTCAGTGAAATCATTGACTAGACCAAAAAAAAACTTTAACCTCCTCTCACTGAGTAACTGCAGTATGAGCTCAACAGTTGTCTGCACTGCTTAGATTGGCTGCTCAGGCAGCATGTGTATGTGTGAATGGTGCCAAAGGATCTTTTCCAATGCTGTCAATTAAGGAGTGGAAGAACTGTGAGGATTACTAAAAAGGAGAGCTGGAGGTACTTCTGGAAGAATGGGAGTGAATGTCACTGGCATCACATGTTGGGGCATGGCTGTAATAAAGATGAACTGTAGTGTTCAGGGAAAAAAAAGTATGCACAACCAAACTTTCACAAATTCTTGTGGAATTTGCCATCTCTGCCTATCAAGGAGGAATATGTTCATATTATGGAATCTTTATGAGGAAACTGAACTAGAATGATATTTACCTTTTAACTGTAGTTTTAATGGAACACAGTACATGATTTACAACCTTGAAGGAAATTCTGTGCATATTCTAGAAGACTAGGACTGCTTCATGAGAGGATTATCAATTGTTTCTGTTTCCAACTGCTTTACTGTTTGTCAGTTTTTCATTTAAGTATGGTTGAATAAACCTCAACAGAAATCCCAAAACTGCCAGCTGCCTAGTGACTGTGTCTTCTCACGAAGCATCACTAAATGTCTGATTTCATAGAATCATAGGATCATAGAATGGCTTAGGTTGAAGAGGGCCACAGTGATCATCTAGTTTCAACTCCCCTGCTATGTGCAGGGTTGTCACCCACCAGACCAGGCTGCCCAGAGCCACATCCAGCCTGGCCTTGAATGTTAGTTTGCCACTTCTGATAACAGAGTACTGGCCTAGGTAACCAGTCTAACACTTCTTCTTCATTCCTTTCCCTCCCAGTTTAAGCTATCATTTATTCTAGGACAGTAAGTTTTACAATTACACAGATTCCTTCATTCCTAGATGATAATGAGCAGAGAGGAGAGTTTATTCACTTAGATGCCATGTGTGTGGATATTCTTTTGATTATGCTGTTACAATCAGCCAAGCTGCTCTGTGAAAAGCCCTGATTAACCACCCTTCTTTTCTGTGTTAGATTGTCCTGGTCTGTGTAGTCACTGCTTTAGTTACATTTTATGTTAAAATTCTGTCAGCACCTGTTCTACTTTTGCATTATAACTAACATTTCTAAAGCAGCCTGTGCTAATTTCTCATTACCTACACGTAAAGAAATACAATCAGTGACATCTTTAGTCATCGTGATCCACATCTAAAACTTTAAAATGGTGTAGCGTATCCTGTTAAATAATTGCCACTGTAAACTCCAGCAGCTTAGGCTGCAGTAGCAGATGTGTATTATTGGTATTTGGGTGTGTGCCAAAAGTGGAAGTGAGTAATTAGAGCTGCTCGGTGATTTTTTCTTGTTTCACAAACTCCCTAATTGCCTGATTTAGACTCTCTGCACAGGAATACGTATTTTTTAATTTACTGTCAGCACATCTTTTGGCTTTTACACAGACTTTTTTTCCTAATTAGAGTTCCTGTTTTCTTTCTGTTCGCTTACTGAGTTTTATTTATTTATTTTTAACAGGCCTTCTGAACAAGATTCACCAAAGTGAGTTGTCTTTAAAATTTCTACTATGGAATCTTTATCTTTAAGATACCAATCAAAGCATAACTTGAATTGATTTTTCTAAGTACTGGTCTTGTGTGATTGAAGGCACAAATAACTGTTGAAATCAATGAAGATGGTAAATCTTTTCTTAAAAATTAAGTTTTTGCATCAGGATGCGAGAAAACTTAAATCCTAATAAGTGTCTAAGCACTATTAACAAAGCAAAACAATGATTTTCTTAAACTGTTCCATTTCTTTTGTAAAAACTTAATGATGCCAAAATCCACTGGTGATTTTACTGCTAGAAAGCAATAACTGAAGCAGTTTGTCACATTATTCCAGCGTTAATTTTTTTCTGTGGTAGAAACTCATTAAGAACTAAACTCCTAAGTTGCAAGTGAAATTTTGTTTTTAAATTGACTATATTCTGAAAAATATGTTATGATGTGTTTGCATATAAGTGGTTCCTGCTTACTTAACATTGACCTCACAGGAATCATGAAAACCTCTTTGAAGCTACCAAATAAAACCAATAATTCTTTTTTTTTTTGTGTATGTGTCATTACAGTTCGCTAAAATATTTTAAAACTATTTAAAGAGCCAAATGAATAATATCTTTGAAGAATATTTTCCATGATAGTTGAAAATGTTGTAAATATTAACAAAAACATTTCATTCACACTGCCAAGTACATGTAGAAAACTGAACATCAGTAATATTAAGGCAAAGCCTTAATATTAGCCTGCTAACCTATGGCATCATGGCATAATGTTTGTTAGTTGCAGTCAGATTTCTGCAAACCAAAAAACAAATGTCTATATTTATTAGTAGTTGTTGCATTGCAAATCCTGCATGTAAAAAGCTTATGTTACATTCCCTTATAGTTTTGTTTCTTCATGCTGGGATTCACTTCTACTACTACCATCCTGTGAGAGTTAGATACTGCTTTTAGGAATGGTGAACTAGATAATGCATTGAATACGCTCTGCACAAAAAAAAAAAAATAAAATAAAATAAAATAAAAGCATGCATACATGCAAGAATCAAATACAATTCACTGTAATGCTGGTTGTCTGTGGCACTACAGAGCGTGCTTGCAAAGAGTACTGGCCCTGATCAAGATGATCTATGATGCAAGTGAAAGATCTCTCTACAGTGGGGTAATACAGGTGAATAGAATCGCAGTTGAAGCATTTTCCCCTGGGGTTTGTTCTCGTTCCCTCCTTTGTGGCAGTGATTTCATGTACCACTTCAGCAGTGCCTTTCACTGTTGACCTTCAAGTATTTTGCTGAAAATGTCTCTCTTGCTCTAGTTTTATTCTGCAGTTCTTCTAGGTCTCCACTGAACAAATGATAATGCGTAGATCATTCTCCAATCCCATTACTTTGCATGTCAAGAAGTGCTGTTTAACCGCGAGTATAAAAAGACTTGTTCTGGTGTCTGAGTGATACAATTGCCCATTTTACACAGTTTAATGTAAAAATCTAGATAACAATACTTTTCTAATATATATATATATTATTTTTTTTGTTTGTTTGTTTTTAAATGAAGGAATGTATTGGGAAATAGTCCAACTCGAAATTCTCTGACCCGTACCTCACCTAAAGCATTGACTCAGTCTCCCAACGGAGTTGGTAGCATTTCTGACTCTTACCCTCTGGAAGGGGTGGATAAACACTTCCTAGAAACATATGACAATGTTACAAAAAGTAGCTCAACAGATGATTCCAGTCAGTACTACTGTGATAAGGTACGTTCAGTTGCATTCTTTTCAAGTCAAAACTGGTAACATATGTAGCTTTGAACTGTAGATTAAGAACTCAGAAAAACTGTGGTTTTATTCTGGGGTGTGCATGTTTTACGAGGTTACAGGAATAAAGCTTCTTGTCTTACTGATTTATCCAAGGCTGTGTATACAGTATGATAGGTAAGCCTACTATGTACATTCATTTCTTATAGCGACCAGGTTTCCAACAGCATCTGCAGGAAGTTCTTAATGGAATGGGAATCCTTACATGACTGTATCTCATTTGTTCTAGGATAAAGTCACTCAAGCTCCTGTAAGTCTTGATAGTGAGCACAAATCCCATCTGGGATGGCTAAAAATTGTGTTTTGACTTCTGAGTTGACTGGAGAGCAGCTGCTCCTTGCTAGCGTTGTGACAGCAGATCGTCCCTCACCTTTTCTCTAGCCTCTTCCAGGGCTGTGCTAAACAGCTTCCTAACTTGGCTTTCCACTAGCCATAGCCAAGCTTTAATCATCCTTGCTTGGAGATTTCCTGGAGAAAATATCAGTTCACCCTTTTAGAGGAGATATGTTAAAGAAATTGTAGTTACTCCATAATCTTTAGAGCAAAAATGTTTAAAGTGTGTTGTACCTTTTTTTTTTTTTTTTTTTTTTTTTTTCCTTTTAAGTCACCTTTAGCTATGGCAATACATTGAAAGTTTTAATAGGTCTGAGCTGAAAAAGCTGTGACGAGAGTAAGAGTGTAAGGACGGAAAAACCATACAACGCATTTGTCATTTTGCGTTCCAAAGTAATGCCTCCTATTTATGGAAACTACAATCAATACAAAGAGCACAGTAACACTGTTTGGTAGAGAAAATTGTCATCTACAGTAAATTATTATACAACGTGGCCACCGCCATTAGCTCTGCATTTTTGCCAGTGGTGGATAAGAACCTGTGTGTCATGGTTATAACAGTCTGCATTAGCAGAGGCGACCTGCTGTTGCCACTGCACCACCCATTTCCTCACTGTGCTCACATCAACTGTTTGCTTGCTTAGCAGTTTTAGAGACCATCGATGAACGCCAATTCGTTCTATTTTTTCCACATAGAGGAATTGAGTGACACTCCTTTGCTTCAACTGCAACTCCATGTCAGCTGCCATTGTGTCAGACTGCCCCTCTGCTGCCATTTGTCACATGGCAAAAACATGTAATGAAATATTGGTGGGATGGTTCAACCCCTACTGCCATCCTCCTCTGAAATTGTGAGCCATCATCATAAAATAGGAGGTATTACCTTCAGAGCAGCCCTTGTTGCAATTTTTACAATTTTTAAAGGTTGCAATTGAGTGTATTCTTTAACCTTAGCTTCTTCATTTTTTGAGCATGTATTTACATGGAGAATTATTGTTCAGCATGTCTAAATGTGGGTACGTTACACTCTAATTTTCTGCTGCTTGGTTTTAAAACTTAGAAAAACTTGGTTTGAGCTTTTTCCTGTTTGTTACAGAATGAGGTAATTGAGGGAGATTTACTTTTGGTGCGTATCACACCAGATGAAGAGGGGAAGTTCGGATTTAATCTAAAGGTAAATCAGCAATCTTTTGTTATCTTAAAATGATCTATATAGATACCGTGATCTGATATTATGATTATTTTTTTGTTTTTAGTGTGATACTTCAGAGAAATCAGTATATCCCACAAGAATTTCTTAAGGACTCAAAAATTTTTAGAAGTGGCAGCCTAATCCTTAAATGATAAAATCATATTTATGAAAACAGGCCTTTGCTACTTCTGTATTCTTTAATTGCATATACTATGGATGTGACATTTCCAAGGCACTGCCTATTTTGCTGTGTAGATATGAACATGGAAACATAATTTAAGACACTAATTTCTAGGAAAAATGTCTGTATTATAAAGCAAGTTAAATAGCTGGTGCCATTTTATCAATTATATCCATGAAAAAATCACGTAGAGATGAAAATGAATTGTAAAAATGGAAACAAGTATTGATTCCTCCTGTAAATTTTCTAATTGTATCACCAAAAAATTCCATTTGAACAGATAAGATAATGATACCATCAAAATCAGGGTAATGTTTGCTCATTTTGCCTTGTTATTTATTGGTGAAGTGTTGAGAGAGCTTTATGTAAAGGGAATAAGGGAGTATGTATTTATTTATTTTGGAACTTCGATCCTATCTGATCTCTTGCACACTCACCATAATACCTTAATACTGTCCACCTTGTGAGTTCAGATGTTGAAATAGGCTTGCTTGAAGGATAGGGTTTGAGTAATGCTGCATTTGATCTGCTTATTGCCTCTTAAAATGTGTGGACAAGCAAAGCCACTAGTTTAAGTCTACTGGAAAAAGAGTACACCCATCCTGACATTTGCTCATGAGAGTTCAATCTTACTGGCCTCAAGCGACTGAACAAATTTTATATGTAAGTGAAAGTAGGTGATTGTTTAAAATGCTTATGGTCATGTTGTATTGATGGTCATTATTTACTTGACATTCCTGTAGGGTGGTATAGACCAAAAAATGCCCTTAGTGGTATCAAGAATAACTCCAGGATCACCTGTAAGTAATATCTTACCATTATAATCTTTCCCTTATTACTTCTTCTACCATTTTCATAAGTCTTTATTCACAGGTATCTGGAAATGCATAGCCAATATGAAATAGTAACTGAGCCGTTCTCTTTAGAAATTGATCTGACCAGTGATTTTTCTTTTTTAAGCCATGGATGAAAAGATCGGGAATTGTTAGCCAAACAAGAGACAGTTGGAAAGCATATTTGTTTTCTTTCGTTGTTTCAAATAGTGCACTACAACACTGGAAATACAAACGATGATTGAAGATGCAGTACAGAAGTGAGTGGCATGGGCCTATGCAGCCTATGAAAAAGAAACAATTTAAGGAAAGTACAGCAGAGTTATATAAAATTTGGAGCACTGTGAAATGAGTAGCAGGGGATTCCATTTAAAGAAGAAGGGGCTATCAAATTAGTTAGTGAAAGGCTGAAAATAAATGAAAAGTAGCAGCTTTACATGCCTAAGACAGACCTATGAAATTCCATGACAAAGGATACACTGATCCTATTTTTCCATTCACTTTCACATACGGAAATATTTCTGGTATAGGTGGGACATTCATTGGAACCGTACAGTCACTGAGTTATTATGCTGAATTGTGGACTAATAATAGTGATGCAGTACCTTGGTAATTTTTTTCTACGAAAAATTGTGAGGACGCACTATCTCATCTCATGTTTTTTATTCTTTTTCCCCCCTCTCTTTCTTTTTATTTACCAACTTTCTTAAGATAATGTCAGTGCTAACTTGCTAGGAGATAGTCATGCGTCAAAAGTCTGGAGACACTGAATATTATAGACTCTAGAAATTTAATAAGCACTCGCAGAGCTGGTATCTGAATGTCATAATGTAAGTTGAGCTAAAACAGATTGTTTGAGAACTTGCATTTTGTCCTGTTTGAAATTTATGGCTTGATTTATGCAGTACACTGAACTCAATCATGAACTCTACAATAATTATGCGAATAGAACAGTAATAGAAAATAGTCATTATTACTTAAAGCCACAAAGTAAAAATAAAACAGGCCAGATTTGCAAATCTAACAAAAAATAAAGATGATTTGAGATGCTGAAGTGATGCTAGAAGCAGGCTTATTCTGTTGAGAAACAGAAGATGCTTTTCCAGAGGCAGTGATTTCCTGTGGCAGATTCAGATTATCTTCTGGGAGGTACAGAAGTTCTGATCTGTTTTTATCTTTTCGGACTGGGAAAGGGCTGGACATCCAACTTGCTTCCCCAGTTAGTGTCCCCAGTTAGCAAGTATTGGCATAGATATGAGTGACTTCTTAGCTCCCTAGATGAAAAAGCATGCTAAGTGAGCAAGTTATCAAGAGTCAGGAGGGTATATTAAAAACCATTATGCAATGCAGCATAATAAAGAGCAGTGCAAGAGAAATCACATCATGTTACAGCAAGAGGAAAATATGTAAGTACTTTCAGCACATAACAATATTAACATTATGTTGTTTTCTGTAAATTCATTTTCACCTGCTCTTGACTATTTAATGACATACAACTGATATTTGTAAGTGGAAGTATTTGTATGGAGTGTGTTTTTGTTTATTTTAGCTCCATGGAACTTCAGTGATGCCTGAAAGATCCATCTTTTGTGGAGAAAGGGAAATAAATGTACACGCAAGGCGGTATATCATTTTTGGCATACTAATTTGTTTTTTTTTTTAAATTCCCTTCTACTATAGTAGAAATCTGGAGTTCTGGGGAGATTTGAAGACAGAGAAGCAAAAAAACAACCATTTATTATTTTGGTATTTTTTTTAATAAGATTCCTACACTGTTGATTTTATTTTATTTTTTTTCCCAGAAACAGTATTAATGCCTTAAGGTGATACAGAAGTTGTTATAGTTGTATTTAGTAGAACTTTTGATTGAAAAATAATATGTATGCTTCCTGGAACAATAACAAAGAGATTAGCGTAAAATGAAACACTGGGCAAATCAAATAGGAGAGGAATCCTCTGACATAATTAATTGTCTGAAAATGCTCAGTATCTGAAAAATCTACAAATTATGCTTACACAGAAAGAATTAATTTCCATTTGAGATCAATCTGACTGTATAAAATGTATCAAGCAAGAGAGTTGAGACATTAACATGTCACTTGATTAACACAACTTCTACGAATATCGATATTCATCTTCTCCTGTAATAAAGAATAATAGCCAGCGACCAGCCAAGAAATATAAATTATAGATAAATGTAGGAGATCAGACACCATTCCCTCTGTGTTCTTGTTGACTACTTGCCACTGCTGGACTGACCTAATGTGACTAGTATGACTGATATGAACTTTATATCATTTATCCTTTCAATTATTGCTAACCATTATATTTTACAGCGATTAAACAATTGTTCATAGTTGCATTCTTCAATCTTGCCTCCATAAATCATACAAAAAATGACTTGCGTCTCTTTTGGGGAACTGTGAATACTGAAGAACACCGTGGCTGTTTCTTATTCCCATTCTGCTTCTATTTGCATATCTTTTTCATGCAGCATTGTCAATTTTCCTTATCCTTCATTCGTATCTTTATTTCTTTCTATAGAAAATGTTTGGTGTTACTTTTTGTTTTTGTAGTAGGAAGTATTTATTTTGTGTGGGTTCTTTTTTTCATATTGATTCTGTCATTATCACCTCTCTTTTCTGTCATTTTGTTTTTAAATTGGTAATGATACACTTAGTTCAGGCAAGTTATCCATGCTTCCTGCAAGGCATAATCAGGATAAGAAGGAGAGGGATTATTAGGACATCATTTTCAGGTTTGCTTTTTGACAGAGCTAAAAACATTAGATGAATAAAGGTTGGGGAACCCATGTTAACATTGGGAACAACTATAAATGGAGAATAACAGACTGTATTGGACTAGATCTGATTTATAAAAGATTTAAAATGCAGTGTGTATTTAACTAAGTCACTTCTGTACAGCTGAGTACTTCCTAAATAGAACAAAAATCAGAATAGCAGTGATAATAAAATGGTTACGCAAGTTGGCACTCTTCTCAAAGGTTATAGAATCCTTCATATTCATGTTACCAGAATCGTAGACTGGCTGAGGTTGGCATGAACTCTGGAAGTCCAACCCGCCAGCTCAAACATGGACACCATGAGCCTGCTGACTAGGATCATCATCATATCCTATCCGTGGCTTTAATCCCTTTGTGCTCGTCACAATGCTAAGTATACTAAACGTAGCAGAAAAAAAAAGCCAAGCAAGTCCTAAAGTTCAGCAGATGGTCTAAATTGCTCTAAGTTGCAAGATGTAAGCTTAGTGAAGCTCTTAGTGATGCAAATTGGGAAGTAGTCTTCTATGCAAAACATGAATAAGTTGAAGTTGTAGAAAGGAGCCCGTGTCTGGGGAATGTCCTTAATGTTACTTAAGATATGTTCAGTTTAATAACCTCAAAGTCATGTTTGGACTTTCCAGTATCACTGCATAAGAACAGAAGGTTGCAAATGTCATCTTGTACACCTAGAAGACCTTTTTTATGAGAGAAAGTATCATTTGTTAAGGTTTTCAGTCTGAAATTTGGATCATTATGAGCAATTTGGTAATGGCTATCTGATAAATATAAATTCTTCTTTTAGCTATCAATATGCTGTTTGAACTGTTCCTCGTCTTCATTAAGAAGCTTTGGAGCAACAAAAACAGCTTTAGATCTGAATCCTTTGATTGATTTTCTGATACAGAAGATGAAACTTTTTCAAGAGAACTCTGAAGAATTTGCTTACATGATGAATTTAATATTCTGATTTGTTCTTGCTTATGTGGCTGGATGCAATGACATTAATATGTTTGGGGTTTTTTTGTCTTGAAACAGGCTGATAAATGCATTCCAAAACTGAACGAAGGTGATCAGATAGTATTAATTAATGGCAGAGATATTTCAGAACACACACACGACCAGGTGGTCATGTTTATAAAAGCCAGCAGAGAATCTCACACAAGAGAGCTTGCACTTTTGGTCAGGAGGAAAGGTAACTGGGCTTATTTTATTCACTTCTAATGTTTTGGAGACTTGCTCTTCTGTCTGAATAGGTACGCCTATTCGAGTAAATGTGGTTTTGTTTCACTTGAAATAAGTCTGTGATAAAAAGTAGTTCCTCTTGCATTGAAATTAGCAGCATAAATATTTTTAACTGTGGGCTCTTTTGGATACAAATGAGTCTATCTAGTTAGAATTTCTTCTTATGTTTTTAACTCTAAACTCAACCAATAAATGTTCCTTTTCAAAACTTCTTTTTGGAAATAGAGCATAATTTCACAAATCTTCAGTTGTGAGTTTGCAAATACCTATGAGCTGCTGTTCCCCAGCACAATGATTCTACAAAACAAACAACCTACAACAGATATTTTTATAATGATGAGAAGCTTGACCCATGTGGACTACTCACTAATTTCCTGTTGGCAACAAGACAGTTTTGGAAATATGTAGGGTAATAGGTATTTATTTGTTAAATACAAGGAATCAGTCCTGCTCCATTTTTAAACACATGTAGATTGCAGGAACTTTCAGGGGAAATGAAATGATGATTTACTTTATTATTTACGTTCTCTAGGAGCAATGGTAAGACCTTAACACAAATGATTATTTAAAGGCTTGGCAAGGAGTTTCTGACTGCATTATGACTTAAAAATCTGGAGGGGTTATGCACTGCTAGGAAACAGGAGGCAAGAAAACTGCATAGATGTTATATGCCTCTGTAGCATTTATTTATTTTAAATTTCTTATGTTTGTAGGAAGGTAGATGAGCTCTTCTTGTCATTCTCCCTGAACACAGTCCTGCTTCAGTTATTGCAGGTCTCTCCACTGGCCCCAAGCAGTATTTAGTCTTTCCTTAACTTTTTTTTTATTATTCCTCTTCCTACTTGCAGATAAGTCTTTGCTTTGAGCTAAAGACTTATCCTGTGGCCCCATGCCAGTCATTTGTATAGGCACGAGTAAGAACATCTTTTTATAGTTCGGTAAGAATGGACCGTACCGATCACTGCAGTGAATAACCGCAAGTGGGCACCTTCCGCAATGCAGCAGCTTTCATAGACAAAACTATGGTGAAATTTTTCAATAACATTTTTCATGTTCTTCAACATCTTAGCAAGAAATGCCATAGAAAACTGTCGAAAATATTTTGTGATTTATGTTAAAATGAGGGATGTGACTGAATAAGAAATTAGAATATAGAATTTAGTTGCTCCTCTAGTGGAAAAGGAATATATAAATGTATTTATGTTTGCTTTGCTGTGAGGGGATCCAAACTTTGAAAGATATTCCATTAATTATCTTCTAATTTTTTTTAATGTAAAATTTACTTGATGTCTACCATGGTAATGTTGTGAGTCATTACCCCACCAGCAGATAATAGCAGCAAAAAACCTTTTGTGCTTGGAAACAGTCATTTTTAGTTAGCTCCTTAAGGAATTTCTTTTTTCCTAAGGGAAATTGTCTATGAGGCATTTACTCTAGTCCTTTGTGCAGAAATATAATATATAACTAAATGAAGAAAGTATGTTGCTATTATTCACTTCCTTGAAATTTTCTTTGCAAACTTTATTGTTCTCACAAGCTGGTAAATTTTGTCATGCATTGCAAACACATGAATGCTCAACGTAAAAAGTTTTAATTTTCAGTACATCTTTCAGTTGTTAAACAGTTTGTGGAGCCTAGATTGGAAGATGAAGTTGATTCCCAGAATCTCCCAGAAGCTCTTCTTTGTTCTGAATACGCTGAAACTCTGGATGAGTCTATGGAACAGCTAAGGAAAGGGCTGGAAAGTGGGACAGTAATTCATCAGTTTGAGGTGGGTAATACTCAGCTCTCAAATACTGTTAGTACTAATAGCTGTGACCAGGGCTGTAATTGCAACATCAGGGCTTAATTGATTAGAAAACTTATCTCTCCCTTTCAGTCTCATCTTAAGAGAGCAGGAATATGAGTTGCCCGTCAGATTTGATTAACATTTTTCCAGCTCAAGTACCCAAAGCTCACTAAATTTTTTAAAAATTGTTTTATTGAGTAAAATAGTAGGAGATTGACAGAAGATAGTTTTGTAGTTTTTCTTCTTCTATGCGAATAGGTGAAGTTTCTGAAACATCTTTTTTATCCTTAGATTTTTCTCATTCTCATGTTTTGCTGCCTTTCATGGAATATAACATCAGCAGCTTGACTGTTCCTGCTCTTCTTCTCTGAGAGGTTAATGTGGAAGTGTTGCAATGTTAATTTCTGTATGTGGTCTGTAGTGTCCAGTCTGATGTTTTTTCCTGCAATCTAAAGCACGGATGGTTACTTCTTGGGCAGATTATCTGTAGGTGAGATTCCCCTGTATGCAAGATGAGACTTGACAAACTGCTGTATAGAATAATTCATCAATATTTGTTCTTCAAAATGTTGGCAATGCGTACTCTAGAAAGCTGATCATTAAAACATTTGCAGTTTATTAAAACAGTTCTTCAGTGTTAGCATAGAAATTAGAAGCAAGAAATTTGAAAAGGTAATTCTGTTACTTTTCTAATGGAACTATATCCCATAGTATGTTTGTGTTCATTTTTACTGTTGGAGATACAAGCATTTATTTTGTAGGCTTTGTAACTTTGGAGAAATTCTGGTTATTATGACTTAATAATTTCACATTGTTAAAGTTTGGCATTGTTCTTTCAGACTCTGTAAACATATTGAACAGCAGTGGCAATTTTCTTATTGTGTTACTTTTTTTTTTATAAATTCTGTAAAATGTTATGCTGGTGGCTGAAGAATTTTGATGTTATTTATTACAAAACATTCCTTTTATGAGTTCTCCTTTGTTTCCAAAATTTCTAAAGAGTTAAGTCTTCCCTGACTTTTAGAAATTCTTGACTCTGTGGTGTATATCAGCTTTCCAAAATCCACAACAGTGTTGGAATGTTGTAATAGCAAGTCTATTAGCTACTGAAAAAGTAACTCAAAAGATACGAACCAGCGTTTTAGTATGTTAATTGTACATGAATTTAGCCAACAACTCTGACAATGTTTCCTCAATAATTTTCATTGAATATTTGATTCTTTGACATTTTAATTTCCAGACAACAGTTTTAGCAGGATGTTATTGATGTTACAAAGAAGTGCAGAACCCTTTTGAAATCTAATAAATGTAGTGAGCTTAGTGGTCGTCTTCAAATTCAGTGTCTGTTGCAGTGTCTCCTTATCACCTTTGGTAACTATCATGTTCTCCATTCATGTTAGTAAAATAGATAATAATTAATACACTATCACGTAGCCAATTTTTTTTCCTGAATATCTTTCCCTTAAACATTATTCAGGAATTCTCTCTATTAAGTAGCTTTTTAGACAGGCAGCAACAAGAGAGCTCCAGGATTGTTGCTTTACGTGAAATTGCTCTTCCTTGTCTCCCACAAAAAAAGTAAAAATTTTAACTTGTCTCTGTTAAAATGGAACTGAAGAAAGCTGTTTGGTTGCTACGTAGACTATCAAGCTCTCTTCCCATACAGCCTCTTCCCTTGTTTGTGCTGTGGAGAATGAAAAATGTAGTGAGCTATGGTACACACTGAGTCCTGTGATTCAGTAAGTCTTTTAATAGAATAAGTTTTGTGTGCTCATCCCTTTCTCTTAAATGAAGTAGGAGATTTTAGCATCCTATTGGTTTCACTTAATTTTATGTACATAACCACATTCTAAATCTTACTTAAACATGAAAGCTGTAATTACCTCTTTGACAAGTGTTCAGTGAAGCGCATAAAACTCTGGCACAGCCAGGTTAATAACTCAGTTGTAAATTGCTTTCATGTATATTTAATACAGGGAAACTATAATTGTGTGGTTGCATTTCTTCCATATTTTTTTTGTGGTGTTTCCCCCCAGTACCTTTTATTGCCTCGTACCATGTATTCAGTTCATTTGACCTCAGAATTAGTTTTTGGTTATATGCACATTTGCCCACATTTGCTTAAGATAAAGTTTGCGAGGTGTAGGTCTTGGCAAGATAGGATGGAATTACATATTAAAAGACTGTGGTGTGCTGAAGATTTGCCTTTTCAGGTGTTAAGAGTTGAATGTGGTAGTTTTAGTCCAGAGAATATTTTATTTTTTTTGTATTACAGTTGATTCCAAGTAATAACCGACATCAGTCTGTAACCTTTTTTGTTATCTTTTATTGCTCAGTTCTTCTTTCTTTTTTCCTTTTAGCCCTTTCACAATGGTGTGGTGTGTGTTATAAGAAAAGATGACTTTACAAGGAAAAAGCCAGTTTAGATCAGTGACTCCCACATTTTCTATTTCCTTCTAGAAATTCTTCTGGAGATGATGATGAATTAGCAATAATAAAGTTATTTTTGCATAAAAATATAAGTAATAAGTAATTCAGGGGAATTTTGCAGTTGGCTAGGAAAAGTTGAAGTAGCTTCTTATTTTTTTGTTGTTGTTGCTGTCTTCATGTGGATCTCTTTAGCATAATCATATCTTACCTTTTTGTAAAATTCTGTTTTCCAGCAACTTTATAGAAAGAAACCGGGATTGGCTGTTACATGTGCAAAAGTGCCTCAGAATATGGACAAGAATCGATACAAAGATGTTCTGCCTTGTGAGTATTAAGTACATATTTTCTCCATCTGTTGTTTTATTTTTTCAATGATAGTATATATGCTTAAAACTGGTTTATTTAACTTCTTGGTAAAGCTTAATTTTCGTTCAAAAAATTACATAATCATTCACTTTATTTTCTAAAGGGTTATCTGTTTTGTTTTGTACCCTGCTATTTGTCTGTCTGCAGTTCCTCTTTTTTTTTCATTAAAAGGGAAACATTTATCTTATTTTCTAATTTGATTCCCTCTTTATTTTTTTTTTTGTGCGTGTGCAGATGATGCCACAAGGATAATATTGCAGGGGGATGAAGATTACATTAATGCAAATTATGTGAATGTAAGTCATACGATGAGCTGCACTTGCTTGCTTTTTGTATTGTAATAGCAGACTAAATTTAGCCATTTTAAGGAATAAGCTATGTTTGTTTTAATTTTGGGGGATTTCTGAATATAAGAGTTATGTAGATTCACACCATAAAACATCAAGTGTCGCTTGTGAAACAACCAGATAATACACAGAAAATAGAAACACCATTATTTTCATATACTGCATAACATAGATTTGTGGGATTTAATATTTATTTCTGTATTGCACCTCTGAATACAAGTAACATTCGTGACTATTTTTTTCATGATTTTAATGAAAATTGCTTTCCAATATTTATCTTGTGACTTTTCTGGGCTACATCAAAAGAGAGGAGGCAGCAGGGCATGGGAGGTTCCCCTACACTCAGCCTCATCTGGAGTATTGCATCTCCAGGCCTGGGGCCACCAGCACAAGGAAAGTGCAGAGCTGTTGGAGCAGGTCCAGAGGAGGCCACAAAGATGATCAGAAGGCTGGAGAACCTCTTCTCTTCTCCAGGCTGACAAGCCTTTCTTCATAGAAGGGAGACCTCATTGCAACCTCCTGGTTTTTGAATGGAGCTTATAAAGAGGAGAGAGACTGACTTTTTATGTTGTCTGATTGTGACAGGACAAGGGGGAATGGCTTTAAATTAAAGGGGGAAATTTATGTTAGATGTTAGAAATTCTTCATTCAGAGGATGGGAAGGCTCTGACACAGCTGCCCAGATAAGCTCTGGCTGCCCCATCTCTGGAGGCATTTAAGGCCAGGTTGGATGGAATTCTGAGCAGCCTAATCTGGAGGGTGGCAGCCCTGCAGATACCAGGGATTTGGAAGTAGATGGTCTTTAAGGTTCCTTCCAACCTGAGCCATTCTGTGATTCTCTGACTGTGAATAATTAGGCATTAAACTAATGAAGCGGAGCAGTTAAGTCTCTTGGAGGTTTTTGCTAGTTGCTGAAAGTGTTCTGCTGTCTGAGCGCAGTCATGGAGATTAGAAGTATTTTAGAACAACTTATGTTGGGTATCTTGTCAAGTTTGATTTCTTAATAAATACCTCAGTAGCCTAGGAAGCATTTGAGCTGTTCTTATTGTGTCCTGTATCAGCCGTTACACAGCTTTTACTAGTGCAACTTTGGTAAATTTGTCATTATTCCTTACTAAATATTAAAGAAAGGTTTGGAAAGGTTTGCAGCTTTACATTTTTAAATACATTTGAAAACAGAGATACCTTTTATTTGGCTCTTCCTAGTTCAGATGAAGGGACTTAGTATCTATAGTTCTGGTTTAAATGAATGTTAAAGGTTATCACATAACAAATTGTGACTTTAATTGTCTTATTGCTCAACTTTAATTTTTAATCATCCTTCAAAATGTTCTTTGTTTGAATGAAATGCTGAATATTAAAAATAAATAGTATTGCATAGTGAGAACTAATTGTACTTTAACTCCTTTTTATTTATAGATGGAAATTCCTTCTGTGGGCATTGTGAATAGGTACATTGCTACTCAAGGGCCTCTTCCTCACACGTGTGCACACTTCTGGCAAGTTGTCTGGGATCACAAGTTGTCGCTGATCATTATGTTAACAACACTCACTGAACGTGGGCGGGTAAGTGTGTTCAGGTTCTTTGTATTCTGAAGAAATACTACACCTTGAAACTGTTTTTCCCATTGTTGTGATTAAAGAACCCTAATATAGGCCATCTTATTCTGTTGAACAATTTCTCTGAAGGCCAGGCTTTTTGAATTAATTGGGGGAAGACAAACTGCGTGACTTTGTTATTTTCTGTTTCTTTGAAAGCAAACCAGCTGTCTGATCATCAGAATTGACTTGAATTTTACTGATCAGCCACGTACTGCTTACTGTCCTTTCCCATGAGAATTGGATTCTGTGTCGCAGTTGCTTTCCTAGGGACTCAGAAAATGTCTGGAAAGTCTGAGCAAAACTTGTGGTCCGGCTTGAAAATGGAATCTATCATTTCAGTACTTATTAGCTAAAACTAGCTAGTAATGCTAGCTGTCAGAATTTAACCTGCTGACTTTTATGTCGGTTTGTGTAAGTGAGATTAATAATGAATAGGTCTGTCATGCCCTTTTGTTGAAAGGAAGGCATTAGATACAGTTATTTAGGTCTCTGTTGGGGCAAGTCTTTTGTAATTCCAGCAGAAGATATTCCATCACTTCTTTGGACCTAAGAAGTGCCAACATTGAATTGTTCTCACCTGTATTCCAAAGGTTAATTGTTCTTAACAGTGAAGAATTTTATTCTTTTATCCGGCAGTAATTTCTTCTGAAGCAACCTCCGCCCATTGCGTATTGCTTTGCCATTACACATCCTTGTGAAAACAACGCACTTCTTAAAATCACCATTTAGATACAGAATGCCTGCTTTAAATCCCATTGTATCTTTGATCTCTTGAGTGAACAAATCCAGTTTCTTCAACCATGATGTAGGAGACCTTCAGCTGAATCACCTCCATTTTTTTTGTGCAATGAAATACATACTATATTGATTTACATACTGTGTTAATTATGCATCCTTTCTAAAACTTGACTGACTTGCTTGTGGAAAAACAAGGTCTGTTAAAGCTTTTGACCCTGAGTGATTCACAACTTCGTCTACTACTTCATTTTTTTTAAAGGAGCTTTTAAAGTTTCAACACATTTTTGCATTTAGATTTTTAAACTTTGGAAATAGATACTTAGTTTTAGATGCTCTTTTGGAAAAGTAAATACTTTTTCTTCTTTGAGCCATCATAAACTGGAACCTCATAAAAATTATCAGTGATAGTTTTGCTTTTATAAGGAAATGCTTCTTGAAAATGTGTGCTTTTTTTAATAAACTTGTCATACACCTTTTCACTGGACTTTACAGTTCATGACCTTTTGTGCAGCCAGGAAAATTGATAGTGTTCCATTTCATTGAGTTCAGCACACCTTTTTTTTCTACCTGTGTGACCCAGACTGCCTACCTCTCACTCTTGCTCTCAGTCATCTTTGATAAAAACAAGTAAAGATTATTGGCTTTAGTGCAGAGTCCAAGACATTTCCACTGGTAAAATTGAATTAACAAGGTTGTTTGGTAGTGGTTGACTTGCTATAGATAGATGCGTTTGCCCTATGTAGTGCCTAGCTTCTAATGTATTTGAGACACGCTTTTATAAGTTGTGAACAGTTGTGATGACATACAATAGGATTTTAAAGCTGTATAGTATCTTCCAGGGAATTTTAATCCAGTTACTTTATGGAATTGAAAAGCAATATATTCACTGTAAGCTGTATTGTTGCTAAGAGCTGACTGGAGAAAGGAAAAATAAAATAGATAAGCAGCAGTTTTAACTGGAAACTAGATTCACAGCATGCCCACCTGCTTGTACTTAATCTGTATCCTGATGCTCAGTGGAGTTCTATACAGCTGCTTGGGAAAATATTTGTTAGTAAGCAGGGCACTGGTGATATCTCTTGTCAAGCTCTTTACACAATACTGTAAGCAGTTTACTTCTTTCAGGACTATCCTAATAGGTTGTTTTTTGATATGTTGCTTTGATACTATATTCAGTATTTGTGATTGAATTAGAAGTGTACTCATCAAACTTTGATAGAACCTCATGCTTTGAAAAATAGTTTTCCGAAATTGAAGTCTTGGGCAGAAAGCTTTTAGCTTGCATCCAATTTATTTGAATTTTTTTATTATAAATGTCTATAACACAAGTTTACAGAGAATTTATCTCGTTCTGTCATGCTACATTTGAGTTTTGAACATTATTACCAGCAAAGGATTACAGTTGTTCCCTGAATTTCTGAACCATGGGAGAACACTCTGGAAGCCTGTTTGAGGTCTTGATGTGCACTTAATTTTCCTTCATCTCTACAGACAAAATGTCATCAGTATTGGCCTGATCCACCAGACGTAATGGAGTATGGCGGCTTTCGTGTCAGATGCCACTCGGAAGATTGTACAATTGCCTATGTTGTTAGAGAAATGGTGATTACAAACGTTGAGGTAAATGCTTCCTGTCTTAAATTATGTCTAAGCAAGCTGAATGAAAATATATGCATATAGGTGGTTGTATACTGTGTGAATATACACATTTTTATAAAAGATGAGTGTATAGAATACGGATCAGTGCAGTATAATCATAATTTCTCAAAAGCATACATTTTGAAGGGTTGCATTGTCTTGTAATATATTAATCCATTATACTGTACAGATACTGTAATGAGCTTCATGAAGAAGTTTGTTGCTTTACTGTAAACAGTACTGTTGCAGTCACTGACTTTTCATAAATAGATTTTCAGTAAAATTTTTTCAGTGTCCTTTCAAGGATGAAGTATGGGTGACTTGGTTAATGGCACATGTGCCTAGAATAGCTAGAACAGGAGCAATTTGCAACAAAATTCATTTCAGAGAGTATACAGAATCTTACCAGCTCTTTTTTTATCGTCTTTACTTAGAGTTTAAAAAATAAAAAATTGCTCTGAATGTCGAACCCAACGTACTCAATTTATGCACGGCACTTAGTTACTTTAGCTGTTAATATTCTGTGCATATAGGAGGCTTACAAACCAAAAGGGAAGAGAAATACATGGAATACTTGTTACACATGAGCTTGTGTTGTGAAATTAATGTTCAGGTCCCATTTCTGTCTCCCACAGCATGAATATAGGGAATAAAATTTGGCTTCTGATAATAGGTTGTCTAACATTTCTTATACGTTTCCTTCTTTAGCTCTTTTTCAGTATTCTGTGAATATTGAACAAATATTTTCTAAAAAGAAGAATGGTTTATGCTAGTTATGAGAAACCATCTGTTCAGAGAGCACTATGACTTTTCGTTCTGTTTTTCAGCCAACTGCTCTGTAAGTGATAAACTTGAATGTCAGTACAGAAGAAACTAACCTCACTAAAGCAGAAAATATATAGGCAAATTTCTGTTCGGCATCATTCAAACTAGTTGATTGCCAATTAAACGTGGTTATCTAACCCTTTTTGTAAATTTTAGCTTAAGCCCCCTCAAATTCTTTTTCCCAGTTAGTAGTTATCGCTGTTTCATAATTCTGAGTAAATTCAACAGTGATTGTGTTCAGTATGCATCACTTGTAGCTTCTAGTTACTATTGTGTGGTAGGTAAAAATGTTAGTGAGAATGGGGCAGGTGATTTTTTTCATACAATTTATTTCATACAATCTATTTTGAGATAGATTGTTCTTCTGTAGTCATGCTAATAAATGTGAAAGTTCAAGGATCTTGTACAAAAAGTTGTCTCATGTAGCTATCAGCTGAGAACATCATTACTACTGCAAAGGCTTATACTTGTGGAGAGCTCACTGCCATGAGACAAAATGGTATAATTTTTAAAATCACCTTAAAGCTAGACCCCAGTGGGAAGAGGTGGTTTTGATTGTGTGCTGTTTTGTTGGTTTTTTTTCTGTTTTTTTTAATCTATTTCACTAAGGACAAGTTTTCATATACATTTAAATGGAGTGGTCACATGGTCACACTCAAAGAAACACTCACTATTCAGCTGTCCCATGCGGTTAAAAATATGATCCTAATAACTGAAAGCCCTGTGTGAGTTTTGTGTTTCAAAATAACAAGGTACAAAGGCTTTTATTTCAAAATGTAGTGGGGAAAAAACAATGAATTATCTCCTAGTTTTTCACATCATTTCAGCTGCTTTTCTGGAGCTGAGTAAATTTATTCTTCTGGGGGCATCTTCTGCTTAAGAGTATACTTTGCAGAGCCTTATATGTGCTCTCACTCACAAATATTGTTGAATTCTGTAAAGAATACATCAAAAGTCGTATAAATTCAAATCAGGTTTTTATCATTCCCTGATCTATAGCGAGCATCATTGGATTGGTCTTTATGAAGACAAGTAGCTTTTCATAATAAGATGGATAAAGCTTCAAAACTCTCAAGAGATTTGATTTCGATTGGAAACGCATGTTTGTGAAAAATCTTTGTGTGTATTAAATTGCATAGATTTCAAATCTGCCTTTAGAGGAAAACTGCTAAAAAGTGAATTTTACGAAATGACGCTCCTGGCCTTTTGTTCACATATATTCAGAAGACTTGAATTAAAACAATTTTAGGATTCTTCTGACCCAGTTTATCTTGGTGCTTCTTTACCTGAAATTGAAGCAAGTGACAGCAAATGTATGAAATACATATGTAACCTTTCTAAGCCTCGTGAAAAGAAATAGGGTTTAATTTTCCATCATCTGTATGTATCCTGTGCAAGAAAAGCACAGAAAACAGTAAGCTTGTTTTTTGGGGGGTAAGGCTTTGGGGAACCAAAACAAACAGCCAACAGATAAATTCATCACACTGCGCTATTTCATAAAACAAGATAAGCGTTTGCTTTAATCGTTGAAAAAATAGGATGAGAAGCTTGAAGAAAACCTTTCATTCAGTTACCTTTGGGAATAATTGCCTTGGAACATGCTGACCTCTCCAATTTCAGCCAGTTATATTCTGAACATATATTTTTCTAGTTTCCTCTGTCTTTAAGCAACTTCAGTTAAATTTAACTAGAATCCTGCTGTGGTACTTAGGAATGCTACAGAGATAATGTTTGCTGGAGCACAGTATTCAGAAAGCTTGAAATAAGAAATGTTGCAAGTTAGGTTTATTTCATTCTGTCACATTTTACGTTACTTGTACTCGTTTCCAAAGTGCATTATCATTCTCCCTCCTGATTTGATTATTAACTAAAATAAATCATTCAACCAAAAAAAAAAAAAAAAAAAAAAGTAAAGATACTCTACTAAAATATTGATTTAATTTCGTCCTTTAAAGGCCAGTTAAACCATTGCCATAATAATAATTGTGCACCACAAGAGAGAGTACTGACACCTTATGAACAACATAAGTCCATGTGATTAAGACAATTCCTTGTAGAGAATATGGAGTGTTTGCACGAATGCTGACAATGTAAATAAGATTTTGAGAGGACAGCTTATTTTTAATTTATAAGCTATCACCTGCCATTGACATCACAGTGATGGACAGGATGATTTGATGAAAAATAAATAGATTGGAGTATCAATTCAAAGAAATTGAAAACTAGGCATGAATTTGTTTTGCTAAGGAGGATATTGCTGTTTGCTGCAAGTAGGTAAAATTGTAAGACAAATAATGTCACATCTTTCTATTTATGAATGACCACCTTGCAGGCCTTCTAGTCATGCTGTTTAAATTGATATGAGACTAATTCTAGGCAGTAAATAAGCAGCACCTTCTTCTATCAGCAACTCAAAGTATGGTCAGTCTTAATTTTTTTTTTAACAGGTCTCTATTCTTAAGGCTTACATTTCCAGACCATTTGTCTTATTTGCAAGTTGCATGATGTACAGCAGTTTGAGGGAAATATTCAGCTTGTTCACATTAAATACTCTTAAGTTGTTTCACTGAAACTTACGTTTCCACTCATTATAAATAAGACCTTTTATTTTCTTTCCAATGACATTTATATAATTTGACCATTTCATAAATGTCTGGAACTTACTGCACTGCAGAAGTACTTTAAAGACTTCTCTGGGAAGTATCTGGACTGAATGTATTCTATTCTGTCAAATACTCACTGTAGGAAAAAAAATAATGAATTGGTTCTGAATATAAAGAGCTGAAGAACAGAAAGTAGATGAAAAGTTTTATGGCAGAGGTCTTCAAAAGCATAATGAGATTTGAGTAGAGGTGCAAAGAAGTTACTACTCTACCCTTCACCAAACCAAGCCTCCTCAGAGTTTCAGCTTTCAATATTTGTAAAGCTCAGTAGCTAGAAGTGTGTCATTTTCCTTCAAAGAAGATAGCCCCATTTCAAGGTAAATGTAGTCTATGCTGTAGACATACCATTGTTAGAAGATAAAATTAAAACCTAAAAAGCAAAAATGAAGAAGTAGAATGCAAACAGAATTGTTCAAGTTTTAAGAAAAGTAAAAATTAAAGTTGACTATTTGAACCTAAATTTCCTTCCTTTTACTTAAGTATTATAATTCTTGTGTGTATGCTGTTGTTTTGGTTTTTTTTTTGGAAGAACACCTGACTCTTTTATTAATCAGTGAGAATCAATCTAGCAAAATGAAATGAGGAAGCCTACCTTTCAGTGTAATTATGAGAAACAAGGTATCAGTCTGCAGAAAGATGAAGGATGAATATTTTTCTTGCTAATGATCAACACAGATGAGATTTGTTTCTTAAGTGCTACAGCACATATTTGATGTTACCTCTGCCAACCCTAGAAAAGGTCATGGTGTTTTTGAGAGAAATCCAGGATATTTGCCTAACCACAGTGAAATTGCATTCACAATAAGGTGTTCTTTTTGTAGTTCTACCTGTATGGAAACTGATCTCTGGTGATAGCAAGTACAAAAATAAATTGAAATCTGTCCACGTGATTGAAGCGTCAGGGTGTATAATGTCAAGTTAGGCAAATGTAGCAACTGGGCAATGAGCAGCTCTTGCTGTCTCAGTGAGTATATATATGTTTAGATTTATAAAACAGGAGTCATAAAGCCAGATTTTCTAAAGAGAAGTTCTACATTTATCAGTAATTCGGATAATAATAATGATTGTCACTTAAAATGCTAGTGGGGTGAAAAAAGAAACGCTAATTATGATTTAAGTTGCCTTGCAGGCAATAGTAGTTTGTGAAGTGGCTTAAGTGTAATGAGAGTCTACCTCTTCATTTTTCATTACCAGTTTTTGACAGAGAAGCAGGGTCTGGAAGAAATTGTTTAAAAATAAGTACTGTTATTCAGACATGCATAGTGAAGCTGACTGTGGGACCAATAAATATAATTCTAGCACTTTTTTCTCTATTTAACCTAGGAGTAGTAGGTTTTGTCGTACATGCATAACTGGTAATGCATGTTATTTCCATGTGTTTTCAGTATTCTGCTGACCAATTCAATTCACTATGAGTATAAAGACTTGAAAAGTAAAAACAGATGAAAGAAAACACCAATCACTCGAACATAATGAACTATAGTAATAGTTTTGTGCTTTCTGAATGAGATATTTCTTAGAGTTTTAAAAAACTCGATTTCTAACACAAATATACTTGAGCATTTTGATAAGCCAAGTAGTGATCAAGTTATTAATAGCTTGAATCATCTCAGAACAGCACAACCATAAGAATACCAAACTGATTACAGCAAAACACAAATGACTAGCAAACTACTCTGAAACTTGAGAAATATGTGGAATAGCTAACAAATTAGTATGTTGGTCTCTGGGAAAAAATAAGGCATGCAGCAGAAAATGGACTATGAGCACACCAGAAGAAACTGTTCTGAGGACTAACAGCATGTACAACTCTTGTACTCAATGATTATAAGCTACTTAAAAAAAAAAAACAAAAAACAAAAAAACAAAAAAAACCTCAAGATTTTCAGACCTGGATTACTAAGTAGTTAAAAGGCCATGCTGCTTCTTTCAGAGATTCCTGTCATTGTGGGTTCTTTTGATGACCTGGATGAATAGATCTCAAATATTTACAATTTGATTTACATTGAGCCTGGTCATTAATATCAGCTTATATTGTCTACTTAGACTTTACTCTAGACATTTTAATTTTGATTGCTCAGACTCTGCCTTCAAAAAGCAAAGTATGAGATGCATGTGTCTTTATATTCCTGGATATAAACATAAATTTTTGTAATTACATTGCCTGGAATTAAATCACTCCCTAGACTTCTACTCAGTACACGAGCAGTAGGCATTCTGTCTTCTCTGTTTTATTGGCTTGCTCCTTGGGAGTGGAACCACTTGCTCTAATGGAAGAGAAAAGCCAAAGTTGAAGGCATTTGAAACAGGTCATATATTCCAGTAATTGTACACTTAAGAAAATAAATAAAACTCCAAATCTGCATCAATAAAGCATTGTTGCACAGACAACTAGAGAGAGGTCAGCTTTTATAGTCTAGTGCAGTGATAAAGGATGGTTTTATTTCAGTAAGTGTCAAATGTTATCTTTGGCTATGGACATCAGTCAAACAGAAACTAACAGTGTATCTACTGCTAAATGTGGAAGAAATAAAGGAATGATATGAAGGCTTAGTTCATGAAGAGTGGTATATCCTCATTACACAATACAGCAATGCTCAGAGTCTTTGGCTTCTTTTTTGCTTTATTTTTCAGACTAATCATTGGCAACACCTGTAACGTAACATTTGAGCCTAACCTGAATGGATTCATAATCAAAGCTAGCACAGAGCTAAAATGCAAGACATTCTATAAAATTGCTTTTAAGTATGATTGAATGGAAAAAAACCTAGTTATTCATATAGCAGAATCTTTCGAGTAATTAGCTTGTGTTCATAAAGAAAAATGTCCTGTGGCAGTACAGAAATCATTTATATGTTTACAATTAACATATATAGTTTTTCAACAGAAACTACAACAAGCAAATGTTAGAGGCAACTTTATATTTTAACAGTCTGTAAATACACACAGAGGTGTATTTAGATAAGATATACAGCTATATTTGGGAGATTGAATTGGTTTGCAGAATGAGAAGAAAATGGCATTCATCATTTTTTATGGCAGGGCTTAATGTTCTGCAGGTTATGAACAAGTGAAATGCACCTTTCACCACTGAGCTAGTGGTGCCAGTGTAGCATTTCTGTAGCATTAGATGTGCTAGCCTCATTTTTATGAAATGTAAAATCAAAACAATGCTTTTGAGCTGTGATTGGGAAGCCCTGATGCTTATTATTTTGGTGTAATTCTGAATGTTTTTTCTTTGGCTTCCAGCTATTTCTTGCAGTCTCTCCTCAACTGTTGTGTAAGTTGCATAGCATTTTACCTCAGGTGAATCATTGATGTCAAGAGTCAATAAACTTAAAAATTGAAAATCTCCAAGAATTGAGGGGTTTTCGTTGGTTGTTTTTTTTTTGTTTGTTTGTTTGTTTTTTGTTTTTAAAATCTGTTTAGATTACAAGTAAAACTTGTTACCTTATTTATTTGGAAGTGTCTGTTGCATGCTAAGAATTACATGTTTATACATTATTCTGAATTATAAAATGACAAACGTTTTCAATGTCATAGACAACTTACAGCATCTGCAGATTATGTGAAAATTGTGACGTACCTAATAAACATCAACACAGGAATTGTAACACTGAACACTCTTTGCAAATCTTACTGTATTTTAGACAGAACAGCAACACACTGTCACTCATCTTCAGTATGTTGCTTGGCCCGATCATGGTGTTCCTGATGACTCCATGGATTTCTTGGAGTTTGTGACCTGCATGAGGCCGAAGAGAATAGAGAATGAGCCAGTTCTCGTTCACTGCAGGTACTTGTGTCTTAAAATTCTACACATACCCTTGCTGTAGCCTAACTATGAACATTTGCTTTGAGAACTGTCTGGAAGGTAGCAGATTCCTTGAATTAAATGGGAATACTAAGATAGAAATATCAGTTTCTTTCCTTTTTCCTGCATCCTTTTGGTGAAATTGCTTAGTTACAAAATTATCACAAAGTTGATCATCTGTAATGTAAGTTGTTCTCCATTTTTATCCTCCACTACCTCTGTGAATTCATTGTGAATGGTACTTCAAAGTTTTACTGTGGTTAAAGTCCCTGTCAAAAAGCAGGCAGTTACCTCTTATCTTTCTAGTCAAAAATATAAAATCAGTACATGTAGATTTGTAAGTAGCTGTAAATGTAGATTTGTAAGTAACTGTAACTGTTAAAAAGCATTTATTTTGGGACTTTTTGTCCAACAATAAATTGTTGTTGTCATTGTCAAGAAATATCATTGAAATTGCTTTAAAGGTAAGCTTTGTGCTCTATTCTAATTGTATAAACGTCGTCCTGTAATTTGCGGGGCTAGTTAACATCATAATATTATGATAAGAGTCTGGTGAATTGCAAAATCCTAATTTTATAGACTGTTTTTCTGTTACACTTCACAGTGCTGGAATCGGTCGCACTGGTGTACTGGTCACTATGGAAACAGCCATGTGCTTAATTGAAAGAAACCAACCTGTTTATCCGCTGGATATTGTAAGAAAAATGCGAGACCAGCGAGCTATGATGGTTCAAACATCAGTAAGTGGTAGAGCGGGAATAGAGCGGGAAACCTCATTTTCTCTATAGGTTTTGCTCACGTTCATTTTTAAAACAGATGCAAAGTATTATATGATCTAGTTGTATCTGTCTTCAGTTGCCTTTATATTTCATGCTTCTGTGTTTAGCATGACATAGCGCAGTGAGACATGGTATTTTTGCTTCTTTAGAGAAGAGGTGTGCATTTAACTGTAAATATTTCTTACCTTGTCATTAGAAGGTCATTGATTTCTATTCCTTGCACTTGGTTAGAATGCAGAAAGCCATTAAGTCATAAACAGCTAAGGAATATTCCTTATCTGTTTATATTCCTTCATCTAAATTCTGTGCAGGAAGATAAAACAACTTCTTGTTTTTCATTCTTTGTACAGAGCCTCGTAGGTAGTTCTCAAACTGGAGGTAAAATAAAAGTGCTTGTGCTATGTTTTGTGGAAGAAGCATCTTTTGAAAAGGAGTAGAAATTTGGTAGGAATAATATGTTTTTTAAACTGTGCTGCTACTCCAGTTTAGAAAAACAAGGAGTAGGAATAAATTATTGAGAATAAGCTGGATATTAATAACTGAAATATGAAAATAAGAGTTGATTTTTTTAACAAGGAGGTGGTTTGAACATTTGAGATCATGAGGGCATTTTTTGTGTTAAATGTGGAAATGAACAAACTGATGTTAGAGATGAGGGATAGGAGTCTCCACTGCCTTCAGAAGAAGTCAGATAAGAGAATACTGTGTGCATTATCTAAAAGAGCTAAATGCCCTATGATAAATCAAAGTAAAGGAGTTTAGACCCATGTAGTCAGCAGCTAGACCTAGCATTTCTGTCTTTGATCTTAAAAAGCAAAACAAAACAAAACAAAAAGTTAAACAACACTTTGGTTTCCCCTTGAGCAGAGGAATCACAGCATGATTAAGGTTGGAAAGGACCTGCTGCAAATATAACTGACCAGATGGGAGGAAATCTTTTGTTATCTAAGGGTATGAAAGCATTGGAAAGTGTCAGGAATTATGGTTGCTAGTGTAATACTAGAGTGCCCTGTGAATAGAGATTTCTCATGTATGTTGCTGAGTCTCTTGTCATTCATTGCTGTATGAGTGCACTCCCTGGACGTGCAACAAGATTTGACTGTATGACTGAGGAGCAAGTTGTATGAATAGTGCCCTGCCTGTTCCTTATGGAAATGACACATGGCATCTTAGCCTCAAGATGTTTAGGAAGCTGAATGTTGACTTACTGAGTTTGCTGCCTATGCCTCTCTGTTTCTAAGATGAACTGAGGAAGTTGAAAGTTAAACTTTCTGAAGATGGTCTTATTCTTAAGAATCTGATGTGAGAACCTGAAGTTCTCTAAATTTTAATGGGTGCTGAGAACCTCCTGTTGTAACAGTCATCAATAGGAATTGTTTGGCATAATAAAGAATGTGGAGTATAGTGATAAATATATTGACCATCAGACCTTGATTGTGAAAGCTACGTACTAAAACAAGGCTCCTTACTTTGCATGCTGTGTTTCACAGTTCACTATCACACAATTAAGAGAGAATTATGTAGCAGCACTACAGCGAAGCTAAATTCAGTTGTTATTTCTAAAGTATGCAGAAGCCAATGAGCAGAGCTGGCATGAATGAGGCACATGAGCGAGCACTCAGCAATGAGAAAGCAGAAGACCAGAGAGCTCCATGTTAACTTATATTTACCTCTTGTGAATACTCTTTTATTCCTCTGCATCCATTTCAGCTGGCTCCACAGCTCATATCAACTGTACCGTTTCCAGGGGAAGCTGTTAGGGGTTGTTCAGCTGTAGCAGCCTGACCTGAAGTATATTTAGCAGCTCTGTAGCTTCAGCTTTGAGAAGACAGAATACATAGCCAGATGCGTGTTGCAATTTAAGATCAGATGGTACATGCCTGATAAAAATGGACTTAGCAGAGCTATTAACAAGTCAATTTAGTGTCTTCTATTTATTGTGTCAGAGTTCTGGGTTTGCTTTTTTTTTTTTTTTTTTTTTTTGAAAATCTATAATCTGGTCATCAGGAACAGCAAAATAAAAACTAACAAGAAAATATAATAGCTTCAACAAAACTAGTGTAACTCTATGGCCTTATTGTTATTATTTATTTATTTTTAAAGGTACTAAATTCCTTTAAAAGACTAATTAGAGATACTAAAAAATGCTTTAAGACATATATAATAGAGCTAGTTATGAGCAAAGTGAACAGTAGGAATACAGGAAATAGATAACAGCAAAGAAAACAAGTAATCTAAGTGAGTCAGAGGAAGCGGTGCTGAAGTGTTCGTTCTTACTTGCTCAATAACTTCATCACACAAAGGAGTTAACAGAAGTGGTGAACAGAGAGCTAAATATTGCACTTGGGTTGTTCTGGCAGCAGAAATATGCAGATGAAAATAACAAGAGAAAAGTCAAGGTATTTAAGAAATAAAGACAAAAGAACAGAGTGATACTAGAGGTGGGAGTAATTGACTGAAGGTTTGGAAGAAAAGGCAGGAAATTGAGATAGAGAAAATGAATTTCTATCCTGAACTTTTCCTTTATTTTCTTTCTGTACTTAAGAAAAAATATTTTGAACATGTATGGATAAAAATAAAGGTCTGAACTACTGGTATTGAAATGCAACATAATGTTCTTCATAGTCCATACATTGTCTTTTATTTCTGTCCTTTGAGAGATTTTGGGGAAATCTTCCAAATCCTCCTGGAGTGTTGATGAGAGTTGACATAAAATAGCAGCTGGGAGAATATTTCAAATATATGAAAAGGGATTCAGAAAACATGAAGCTGTGCTTCTCCTAATGTGATGTTGAGGCAAAGCTGTTCATTTGGAGGTTTGACTGAGTGAGCAGTCGGAAGTACTTTTGGAAGATGTATACTTCAATCCTCATGAGTTCTTTTTGTGTTCTCAAGATTAGGCCAATTGTAAATATTTCTCCTGTCTATATGGAATTTTCATTGTGCATTTTAATGTTGTATCATTATTACATATCATTATTATTATGTATCAATTTTCAGAAAGAGATTCTCAGCCTAATTGTTTTTGACTAGTAAGAACTTTGAAACATTGCAGAAGAACCATCTTTGTAATAGAGTAATTCAGAAAATAAATACTAATTTAATTTTTTAAGACCTTATAAGAACTAAATGAATTCAAAATGTTGGGGACAGAAGAATTAACATGGCTGCTACCCTTCAAAAGTATTCGTTCCAAAAGTTTTGATCACATCCTTCTATGAAAGGAAATAATGTGTGATGTGATTACCTATTTGAAATAAAGCAACTCTGTCTTCTGCGACAGTGCAGCAAATGTTTAAAGGAAAAAAAAAAAGTTTTTTAGCAGGGCAGTATGCACTTTCATGAATATATCCTACCTCGTAACTTATTGGTCATAAAACTTAAATGTGTCTGGTAAAATGCAACAGTGAGATTGAGAAAACTTGTAATTACCAGGTAAGAGTACAAAAAAAAAACAAACCTGTAGTGAGATGTATAAAAGGTATGAAGAACTAGTTTCATCAAAGTCAGAAGAAACTTAGGAAATTTTTTAGTTTTTGCAAACATTATATTCCCTAGGGTGTAAGGATATGTTCTTTCAAATTTGCAGACGTTTTTTCCTTATTGTAAGGTTCTTAATGATTCTTGTTCAGAGAAGAGTAAATGTTCTATTTATGTCATATTAATACAGCCAGAAGAGCTGGATTTTCTCTTTCAATTTTGTACTTTTTCTCCTGTTATTGTCCAGGAGAAAATGAAACAGTGAGACGATTAAATACTACTGTATAATCAGGAGTTTGACTAATCCACCAAAAATTTTTGTTTTTTGTTTCTTTTTCTTATACAGAGTCAATACAAATTTGTTTGTGAAGCTATTCTTCGTGTTTACAAAGAAGGATTGATTCGACCACTGGATTCTAGTTAGCACAGCAGTGAAGGATGCATTTTTTTCCCCTAAAAAGACTGCTTTTTTAACTAAAGCAGGGGCTTATTTCTCAAAGCAACTAGAATGGACTAGAAGCCCATGAGAAGACAGATGAGCACATTTGAACTGTGGCACTTTAAATTTCTCAAGAAGATTGCTAAATCATGTACAGTATAAAGAAATCATGTAGATAAATATGAGAGCAATTGTGTGTAAATGCTTTACTTAGGCACCATAAGCAATCATGGAAACCTCAATGCATATCTTTCACTGCCTTAAACATCCCTCACTTTGGAATTACAGAGATCTTTGTGTTTCTTTTGAAAATACGAAAGGAAAATTAATAGGACTGAAATGACTCAGTTTAAGAAGGTATTTAATATCTTTGTATGAAAGTTCATGGAAAGTGAATATTTGTAACTTTTTTACTGGGACATTAAATATTTGTAGGAATGTAACCTTGACTTCTCAATGGCTGATGAAGAGCTTCAAAGCCTAATGCATAACTACTGTACATTAAGAATAGGAGAAATTAAGTATTCACTTTCCATAAGTCTAATAGTATGCCAGCTGTTATAATACTGTATCACTGTACGTGATGTGCAAAACGATACTTCATTTATACATTTAAACAGATGGTACAGTCTACATCTTCTGTTGATCAGTTTTACTTCCATTTTGCCCTTTCAACAGTGACCTACTTCTTAGTGTTAGCTGTTGTATTTCTTTTCTTCTCTTTCTACTGTCCTCCAAGACGATTATTTTTCACTGCTATTTCTGTACGTGGACTGAAAACATTCTAAGATGAGGTCTTGCTCTCTTTCACCTTTGTTTCCGTGTTTATTATGAGTTCTCAGATGTAAATGTGGATTAACATTGCACACAAGTACTAGATGTTTGACTTGCTGTATATGCAAAGTAGTCTAATCCAATACTGGAAGAAAAAATTACTACTGAACCCATCAAATATGTTGCTGCTAATTCAAGGTGTGAAGCTTACAAGGACACAGGTGTTGGTAGTGTTCAGATGGTGATAAAATGTTGACTTGCTGCCCTTCAGCAAATGTGTTTATCCAGTGAAACACAACTCTGTTGCAAGAGTTCTGTGGATTTATTGTGTTTCTTGCTTTATGGAAATGCAGCAAAATTCATGTGAAGATTGACGTAGAAAGAGAGAATGAATTTGTACATTGTTACATGATTCACCCTTAAGGTACACTGGTTTCCATTTCATTTCAAATGGGAGAATTGGACTTTCTGAACAATATAACCACATTTGTATGGTGTTAATTTATTTTGTGTGTGCTTTATGATTACCCTGAGATATTTCTTCATTTTTGAATATTATCTAAAAAAAAAAAAAAAAGAAAAAAAAAATTATTCTAAGGGACTGTTTGAAACTGTTATTAAAAAAAAATAGTCCTAAATAAGGAAAAACATTTAAGACGTGTTAACCAAATGTTTATATGTATATAAAAAGAAAAAATAGATAATTTTCTTTTTGAATATATATAATACACACATATACATCCAGATATATTTTAGAACTATGGTTTGTATTATGGATATTGTCATTTATTTTTGAAGTTTCATTATAGAAACTGACATAGCTATATAATATGCATCTCTCATGTAACCAGAAGCTTGGATTGGTTTGTTTTGTGTGTTTTTTTTTTTTCCCCAGGAGATGACTGAAAAATGAATGTAGTATATGCTTAATTGCTAATCCTTGTCTCCTTTAGACTTATTCCTTTCTTCCAGGTTACATTATTGGTTAGAAGTAGAGGAAAGAAGATTCCTAGCTACTTGGTTAAAACAGAGTTTTTTGTTTGGAACACACAAGGTCATCAGCAACACAAAAATCTTCATGGCTTTGTAGGTTGAAGGGTGAATAGATTTGTGTTCATTCTTACGCATTGCATTCCTAATTTTATCATTGCTTAAAAGTTTTTATAGTATATGGCGTTTTTATCCTCTTGCTTGATTGGGCATAGATTGGAAACCAAAAGATGGTAAATCTGGTCAACTCTACTTACTAAACTGCATCAGGTCACTCAGTCTGATCTGTGACTTCAAATGTAAAATACTTCTGGACACACATTTTGCTTGGGAAGCTTTTTCAAAAAGTACATGTGGAAAAGTGTTGTACAGGCTGTCAGCTGCTGTTTGGTAGCATGTTGAGTGAGAATGCCTAGTGACATGTCTCCACTTGAGTAGTGGTCACTGAAGGGTCTGCCTGCTATTTGACAGAAGCTCTCTTTTGCTGTTATGTGTGTGCCTTTCTGTTAAAATATCTTGCTTTGAAGTTATGCTGTGCCTAGATCTCATAGTCATTGCTTGCAGTTTGTGTGACTTTGTCAAGAAGTGAAAAAGGCACAAAGGAAAGAAAAAAAAAAAAAAAAGCAAGAGAATAAATAGAAAGTATTTAGAGAATCTTTGTGACATTTGTTTCTTTAATAGCAGTCCTTGATTACCATTTGTGTTCAAGGTTAGTGACCAATTCCTACCACTATTTATGTTTCTTCATGTTGAAAATGTATTTACCAAAACATGGTAAATTTCTTCAGTATATAACTTATATAACTCCAGTCTCAAGATGCATGACTTGCATTAGTGTGTGTGTTTTTACATGACCATTGTCATATTGTGACGAGTGCTGCTCTTGTTCTGATAAAGTTAGATGGCTTTAGTAATAGCATTCCTATGCTATTATTTGGATTTTAATAACTTGTGTGAAATTGCTGGCCACTGCTGCTCCTCTTAAAGCTATAAAAACAATAATCTGTGTAATACTTGATTTATTTTTTTTTTTTTTTGTAAAACCATTGAGATAATATTAACTACACAGTTGTCCTGTACATTGTGTCCATCTTTATTTCAGTCTTGCTGGGTTTTGCACATGTACCTGTTGGGTCTTTATGGGAGCATGAAGAGGTTTTTGTCTTCTGTCTGTACCGTGCTGATGACTTCGCACTGAACGATATATGCCTTAGATTTGATCTGGCAACAAAAGCATAATTATGGAAACATTATCTTACTGCTGGCTGTTGTTTCCACAAGCCTTAGGAAATTAAAAAGGAACAGAGTTGCTTGATTTTTCTTGTAAGAGTTAAAACTCCTAACACAAAATGTTTAACTGCCACACAATGGACAAATAGCAGAAAGTGCCCTGTAGTCAGGATTCTGTATAGCCTTCCTAAATGTTTTAACCTTATATTTCTCCTCTGCTTGTGTTAGCATAAAAATGGGCGTTCTAAGTTTCTAACATTGTGGAGGATGAAGAAGGAAAACCCTGGAGGTTTTCACCAATATGAAATGCAGTGACATTATTTCCTTGGAAGTAAGCAGGTATTTACTACTGGTTTTATATTTGATACAGAAGTAATTAAGATGCCTAATTCAGAGCATCTTCCAAAAATATTACA